ATACATATAGTGACTCACTTGTCACCATCAACATGTTTATAAAGTACACGCTGTATACAGCATACATATAGTGACTCACTTGTCACCATCAACATGTTTATAATGTACATATAACAAGGCATGACAATAACCTAACCAGAAGGGGTTTAGCATGCTCTCTGAATAAACTGTCCCAGTCTTCGAATAAAAAGAGAAAGCAGATTTGTTGGTAACTGGTATTTTTGTGCATTATATTATCACAACTGCTGTTGTGTTGGCTTTGTCTTGAAAAAAAGAACATGTTGCTCTAAAAAACCTATGCATAAATGGTGCAAAATGGGGCATTAATGAAGGTTACAAAATGTAAACTGGAGGAAGGTAATAAGGTATAGTTTGATTTGTGAGGAGAGGGGAGGGGAGCTAATTATACCAAAACGGTATAAATAAAGTCATATTTTTGTCCTCTGGGATGGGTTTATTTTACTGCCAGCCTGGTATGTTTTATCAGTAACATTGGCTTCAAATAATGTCTGACATTTAGTTACGCATTATACTCTAAACTGAATATTATAAAAGCAAAGAAATTTAGAGTTTAGTTCTTTTTTTTTAATAGGGTTCCTAGATTCTCAACAACTATATGGTTATATGACAACAGTGTCCACATACGATGTGGTCTTTCATTTGCCATTTTAACTCATTCATCCCTACATTTTTCAACTGGACTTGCCCAGTCTCTGATATGGTAAGGTTTAAACGTGACTTTAGGGATTTATTGGTTCAAGTGCTATCTCACTGAAATATCACACAATTGATACCTCACCCAGCCATACTATTCTGACAAGCTACCAGATGATCTGATTGTCCTGCATATTATTTCCNNCCCCCCCCCCCCAATTGTTTTTAAGGTTTTAAGATTTTCTTACCTTTGCATTGGGTGTAAGGCTCATTTCAGATGTAGTAAGGAGCGAATACTTCCTTTGGACATTTGGGGACTGTAAAAGTTATGGATCCTTATTATTGCTTGCATGCAATACAATTTAAATACATTTAACGCATTGACAAAAAAATCTCCTGTAATGTCTAAACCCATCCAAATTTATCATTATACCTTATTTACTTAAAACATTAACTTTAATGAAATTTATTCTAAATGTCATTGAATATAATTTAAAAACCATGAATCAAACTTACCACTCTTGGACTCACCGACTCAGCCTGAAAGTAAAACAAGATGATGTTATCAATATATTTATAACAAACTCTCCCCAGATTTTAGTAAATAAAACAGCCTCATATATATATATCTTCAATGTGATATCAATAAGATACCTTCCCAATGAGATGTCTTAATATCTTAGTGATGTGTCTTTCATTTAATATCCATCCTAAAAATGGTGTCTTTTCCATCTATCCCTTATATCTTTGACAGAAATTTCAAGACTATTAGTAAAATTTGTGAGGATATATGGGATGTTGAAATAACAAATGAATGATATCAACCTCTCTTCAATATTCCTGAACATATCGCCCTCTGTATAATATCTTTATATTGTAATTTACAACCACAACGCATCCTGGATACTCCAGGGGTTATGCTCACCTACACTTTCTGTACCCCTGGAATATGTCATAGCAAAATTGAAGGCATGCAGTAAAAAATAAACCTGACAAATCGACAGGCTGACACCTGCCCTTTGAAGATTACAGAGACATCCTACTTCAAAGCCAGTCAATTATTTCCTTATGCTAGCACATGATACTTTTGATGTACACCAAAGGATCAAACTAGCCTTCTGGTCTCATCCAAAACGTCTCATCCAAAACATGGCCAACAGTAAGGTTTTGTCATTATATAATTCAGGGGTGCAGAGAGCATAGGTTAGCATAACCTCTGGAGTATCAAGGATGACCAGGATACACAGAATTGGATTGTCAGATCACACATGAATTGTACAGCACCCTTTTCTATTCCCTCCCAATACTTCACTGTCCCATACCTATAACTACAGTGTGTTGATATTTTCTGTCCCAACTCTATACCCAACCACCTCTGGTCTTCTGCGTCCTCAACCTTTGTCTGACTTTCTCTGGGCCTTCTTGTCCCCCGTCTTCACCTACCATTCTGTTGTCTTTTTTACCCTCAACCTATGTCCGACTTTCTCTGGACCTTCTTGTCCCCAGTCTACAACTACCCTTCTGTTGTCTTTTTTACCCTCAACCTTTGTCTGACTTTCTCCAGACCTTCTTGTCCCCTGTCTATACCTACCCTTCTGTTGTCTTTTTTACCCTCAACCTATGTATGGGTCTCTTTGGACCTTCTTGTCCCCTGTCTGTACCTACCCTTCTGTTGTCTTTTTTACCCTCAACCTATGTCTGGGTCTCTTTGGACCTTCTTGTCCCATGTCTGTACCTACCCTTCTGTTGTCTTTTTTACCCTCAACCTATGTATGGGTCTCTTTGGACCTTCTTGTCCCCTGTCTTTACCTACCCTTCTGTTGTCTTTTTTACCCTCAACCTATGTATGGGTCTCTCTGGACCTTCTTGTCCCCTGTCTGTACCTACCCTTCTGTTGTCTTTTTTACCCTAAACCTATGTATGGGTCTCTTTGGACCTTCTTGTCCCCTGTCTGTACCTACCCTTCTGTTGTCTTTTTTACCCTAAACCTATGTATGGGTCTCTTCGGACCTTCTTGTCCCCTGTCTTCACCTACTCTTCTGTTGTCTTTTTTACCCTCAACCTTTGTCTGACTTTCTCTTGACCTTCTTGTCCCCTGTCTGTACCTATCCTTCTTGGGTGTTTTTTTCCCTCAACCTTTGTCTGACTCTCTCTGGACCTTCTTGTCCCCTGTCTATACCTACCCTTCTGTTGTCTTTCCTATAGTGTGGTTTCAGAAGCTCTGAGATGATAGTGCCTGATTTGCGCCTCATTCTGTGTCGTCTCTCCAGGTACTCTGGAGCATTGTGGTGATGGGTCTTCTTAGCACCATGGTCGGCTGGAGACACTGACTCTGTAACAGATCACACATATATCATATATATAATACTCATTGAACCAAGAATTGGATAGATGCTGTTGATGTCAAAAACATAACATAACTTTGTAAAAATGATAAACAAGAATACAGAAATCGTGCTTGATGTACAATAACAAATATTTCTAGTGAAAAAATCAGCATAATGGTAGTATTTATAACATTTTGCAGACACAAACTTCTGTCACTGATTTTGAGCCATTTCAACTGTGCCACATACACTGTTTGGCTTTACTTATATTTTCAGTTTCACTGTTACTATGAAAAATGCTTCAATTGAACAGCTACTGGAATTTATTTGTGTGATCACCTGAACAAACTTGATGGTAAAACAACATTTTTATCTTCACAACATTGACTCTAACATGCATAACAAAGTTTGGATATACCTAACAATGGTCATATATCTACATAATGGTGAGGTTGGCTTATATAATAGCATTCCCCTCATAACAAAAACCTTGACTTTTACAACTTTGACCTTGACACAACACTGACATTGACATATATATCAATGACCTTGACATATATTTCACTGACCTTAACCTAAATGACATTGACCTATGTGTAACACTGACCTTGACCTGAATAATAATGACATTGACCTATGTTTAACACTGACCTTGACCTAAATAATAATAGCATTGACCTATATTACACTGACCTTGACCCAAAAGGCATTGAACTATAACACTGACCTTGACCTAAATAATAATGACATTGACCTATGTGTAACACTGACCTTCCTCCCTGCTCTTGCCCAGCTGCATCACAAGACCTTTAGCTTTCTCCGGAATCTTGTCTTTGTAACTCTCGATGATATGCCGTTTGATTTCCTGACACCACTTGTGTTTCTGGTCTAGATTCCTCGCCTGTTGAAAAAGACGACGAAAACATCATGCAAATAACTGATCACATCATTGTACAAATCCCTTGGTTCTGATTGGATGGAAAGCTAAATCTTCAGGTGAAACATAGTGCATAATGTCAGTACAATAAATGGGTATTTTTTTAATGTGATATCTTCAAAAATGATGATATCTTCATCAATGATAATAGATTGATAATGACATCACAACACAAAGGCGACATGTCACAGTGATGTCCAATCAAATGTCCCAGCACAACACCAGGTTTTTTTTTTATCTTTCTGCAGTTTCTAAAAAATGGAAAAGAGAAAATTCAAATTTTCAAAAATAGAGACTGTCCAATAACCTATTTTTAACTGGATAGTAGAGTTTTATTTGGTCAGCTTTAAGTTAGACACAGAACTTTATGAGGGGAACATTTTATCCTTGGAGCTCTCCTCAGTACAGACCTGCAGTGTATGTTGGCCCCGGGGGTTGTCAAAAGGAATTATCTGGAAACTCAGGGGCTCCTTTGGTAGACTCTCCACCAGCATCAAGTTGGAACACTGCAAGGAAATTAAATTAAAAATATCATCCATTGTTTCTATGGACACACTCAGGTCACGATGTAGGTAATCAATCATATATTGGGGTCAGGTGAGAGCTAACCTCAATGGGCGACATATAGACACAGGCTTTATGGGTCTGTGAGCCAGGTGAGGTAGCAAGCAAGTATACATCAAATTACCCATGCCTGATGTTATTGGTAGCCTCACTAGCAATGCATCAGAAGTCATTCAAACAACTGATAACAACCATGACAGGCCAGTAGCCTTACACATTATCACACTCTTCCATGCCCAGAGTTGTAGGATAGAGATATTCCACCTAAGAGGTTTCACCAATTTGAAAATCCTCAGGATAGAATTTCCCAATCCTACACCCCTAGGCATGAAAGAGAATCTTTCCTCTCAATAAAATCACCAGAAATACCTTGGAAACCATTAAAATGTGTCCCAATTTCTGCGTTACAGTTTGGGAATGTTCCTGATTTTGTGATGCCAGGTCGTTGTTGTGTCAGTATTGTGATGTAATACGATCAAAGTTTCCAACCCTCCTTCCTTACCTTGGATGGTTCTGTCACATATGCACAGAAATGGGATTAAGTTCCCTTAATACTGTAAAAGTCAATTTCAATACATTCCTGTGACCAAAAACTTCATAACATATTTTAAACAATGGATCAAAACTATTGCAATAGTGTGATGATTGTTCCAGAAGGCCAATGGTCATCATTTCAATACCATTACTGTAGTAGTGTCATTATTTGTCATTATTACTTTTAATATATTTGTGGTATTTAGCTATACGCGTTCGTATGTAACGGAAACCAGCCTTCCGTGTAATTTTGTACGTCACGCATTGCGGCAAAACTTTTAGCGCGCGCGCGGAAATAGCACGCGTAAATGCGAGTAAGGTACTGAGCGGATGTGATGTAATGTGTTGTAAACCTGTTTGTCCAGTACGTATTGTCTATGTATAGAATACCTAGTATTGAATGTAGGGTAATTTACCTGGTGCACTGGTCACTTTGAACAGAGCGGCCAGAGCGAGCACAGCGAACATTTGTACACCTATATCTTTACCTAGCCAGCATAGGAATTAAAAGAGGTAGCGGGCACTAGAGCCAAAAGCAAATAATGTAAGTACTCGCGTATAAATATAAGTTTAATTCATTATAGTATCTATTCAATAATATATTTAATTAACGTAATATTTTTGTTAAAAGTAAAGTTAATATTTTGAAAGTCTTTGTAAATTTAGAAATCGGGCGTGGTCAATTTAGTAGACAAGTGATTTCGAAGAAGCAAGTTTTTAATATATATTGTTTCCTTTTATAGCTTACATTGAACGAGTAAGACTGAGGACTCGGCGGACTTTGTCCGAGAAAACCCTCTTCACATTGAAGAGGTGGGTATTTTAATATATTTGTAATTATGCTGTATTTCTATATAATATATAGATTGAATGTAACAGTTGTAATACGTATTCCATTATTGTAACTTATGTAACTGGCTACGGCCAGGTAGTTGTTTGACATGTCTTAGCTTATGTGATTGTATAAATGTTATATGTGTAGTAATATGATGTATTTCATGTTACAGGGTTTTTACTTACGTAATAAATTAACTGAGAAAAGAACCCAGGAGTTGTCGTATATCCACGATAAAAGACGACTATTACATTGGCGCCCACGTATCGTTGATGGCCTAGTGTACCCGCCGACACGCTTGACGGGATGGATATCTACCGACCGTAAATGTAGACCGGACTGGAAAATTCACCTGAGTGACCTATTCCACCTGATGACGGGATGGATTTCGTCTGTATGTGAATGCAGGATGTATACCAGAGAGGCACGCACGTACGCTCGAACGACCTTCGGACGACCTTGATCAACGAGTGTTTTGTGTATCACGCGACTGCAATGTGCGCAGTTGATTCTATATGTTATTGGACCCGGAGAAGAACTGGACCTGTGCTGACCGTACACGGTAAATGACAATTGTGTACCATTGACTTTCCACCCATTTTACTATATATCTTGTATTTTCTTTCGTGAAACATGAACTCTTAATGGTGAAACTTGATTTATCTTATTCATTTCATAATTGTTCTGATATTTTTTTGTGTGTGTATATTTGTCTAATAACTTCGTTCGGTATTATCTTTTGTACTTCCGGTATTTTTCTTTGCATTTCCGGTAAATATTGTGAACTTCCGGTATTTTATTTTGTACTTCCGGTATTTTCTTTGTATTTCCGGTAAATATTGTGAACTTCCGGTAAACCATGGTACTTCCGGTATAACTTTAACTTCTGGTCGAATTTAACTTTCTGTATTTTCGTACTTCCGGTACGCTGTCAATTTCCGGTGACATTTTTGAAAAAAATCCAGTATTATTTAATATCTGTTATCAGCAAACATTTATATTTGTATTGAGTTATTGTAGTAGAAAGTAATTGAATTATTTAATTGTATTTTTCAGTTATTCATTTTTTTTGTTCGCTTCAATATATTTCTAGTTTGAATTGAATTTTGATTTCACTCATGATTTATTGAAATGCTTTGATTGAATTTATTTTTTTCCCTTCTCTTCAACTTTGATTATCTTGATTGTTTTCATATTGAGCTTTCATTTTTGATTTTGTTTAGTACAAATTGACGTTTCTTGGATTTTTCAAAATGTTTTTGTGAATACAAATTGTGTATTTTTTTTTTTTGTTCTCGTGTCTTTAAATTAATTTATACGTGGTTGTCGGAAATATACTTTGCTTCAGAGGAGTCACTTGTTATTAATTTGACTTCGTGGTGTTTTTTTTGGAATTTATTTCTTTTGAAATTGGCTGGGGTTTTTTTTACTTAATTTTGGCTTAAGTTGTCTTATAGTGTTAAATTTCTGTTGTCATTGATAATTGATAAATTTACTTAGATTTTTGTTTTCATTTTTTCTTCTGTTTCGAAAGTTAACATGTAGGATTACTTAAGTAATTTTTTTTTCAAGTGGAATAGTTATTTTGTGGGTACATGCTTGGTCGCAGTTGATGTTGTTCTTTGTTACACGTGCTATGTGGATCTTTCTGTATTTATGTTGAATGGATGATGGTGCGTTAGATGCTATTTATCGCTAATCGGATTGATTTTTTCGTTGACTTATTCGCGTGTATTTTGGCTGAACGCGACCGAATATCATTCTTCTTAGGATTTACATAGTTCTATTTCAGGTAAGTCATTTAATTCATTGACGGTAGATGTGGCAGAGTTGGCTGGTTTTATTTGATTTATAAGTGTGTATATCTATGAGAACGAGAGTAAAATACTTGTTCTGTGTTTGGTGAGAACACATAGATGAACTTTGTTGGTTTGCTTGAATATTTTATTTGTGTTTTGTTGTGTTTATTGTGATACAGGTTTCGCGATGGCCGATTCTGAAGAAAAACTATCGCAGGCGGAAGCGATACTTCCACAAGAGGAAGCGGACTCTGTAGAGCATGTGTCTAAGTTGTTTTCTCAAATGGGTGCTAGACCTAAAGGTGATAGTTTAGTTAAGTTAAGGAGTCAGATGATGGATTTCCTTAATTCAACAGGAGGATTGGACACTGCTAATCCGTCGATGGCTGGACAAGGGGTAAGTGGAAATGTTGTTTCTCAGGGTATTGGTTCTACCACAGGCACTCTGGACACGAGATTCTACAAGTTACCGTTATTTTCTGGAGATCAAGGAAAGGGTGAGGCTACTTTCGATTTATGGAAATACGAAGTGCAATGTCTGATTGACACAGGTAAGTCACAGGATGTCATTGGGCAGTCTATCCGAAGATCTCTGAAGGGAACTGCAGCCAGAGTAGCCATGCGGTTAGGAGCTAATGCGACACCCGCACAGTTGATCGCCAAACTTAGAAGTCTGTATGGTATAGTAGATGACCAGGAGACTCTGTTGGAGAATTTCTATGCCGCACATCAGCAACCCAAGGAAAATGTGACTGAGTGGGCTTGTAGACTGGAAGACTTGTTGCTTAGAGCCGATTCTGGTATAGGACCTGCGGAACGCAATAAGCGGTTGCACAACAAGTTTTGGTCTGGTCTGAGGCAAGACTTAAGAGATGTTACTGGCCACAAGCATGACTCCATTGCTGATTATGAAGAACTATGCATAGCAGTAAGATCTATAGAAAGGACAAGAGACAACGAGAAACCATCGAAGGCGACTGTTACTGTCAACTCAGCTGTTGAAGGGGAGGAGAAGGAGGATTTGAGGTCTGTGGTCAACCAATTGTCTGCTGCTATTCAGAGGTTAGAGAAGCAGATATCCGATGGTGGGACAACCTCGTGGAAGAACAACAGAGATCACAGGAACAGGAATAGAGGAAACTCTAACAACTACGGAGGAGGGTCTGTTTACCACTCTAAGCCGTCGCAAGAGAAGACTGACCAGGATGACGCGTCTTGGGACAGGAAACCTGATATTATATGCTGGAGGTGCAGACAGCCGGGACATATCAGAGCGCGATGCAGGGTAAATATGGATCACTCGCGCAGTTCGGTAAAAGGGAAGGAGTCTATGAAGACGGACCACTCATAGATTTCCGAATTCAAGGTCCGAACAAGAGTACTAAGGCTACTAGGACAGGAACACAAATGGTTGGCAATGCTAATGAAGTTGATGTCAACGTAGAAGGTAAGGGGACCAGGGCGTTACTTGATACAGGTGCGACCGTGTCTACGGTTAGCCAACATTTTTATGAATGTCATCTGAGTCATTTGGACCTGCAGCCACTGGATGAAATTCTTTCTATAGAATGTGCTGATGGTCAACAGTTACCTTACTCCGGATTTATCGAAGCGGGAGTCAGTTTTGAAGGACTATTTGGAAGAGATGAGCAGAGGTGTCTTTTGCTGGTAGTCCCCAACAGCAACTATAACTCCAAGGTACCAGTGTTGTTTGGAACCAACGTTCTGTCGGTATTGTTGGAAGGGTGTCGAAGCAGGAATGGACCGAAGTTCTTGCAGAAGGGATTGGATACTCCATGGTTTTTAGCATTTCGCTGTATGACATTGAGGGATCGGGATTTGGTGAGAAATCGCAACAGCATTGGCCTCGTCAAGAATGCAGGAAACATGGATTGCGTCCTTAGACCGAACTCTACTATCACCCTGAAGGGATATGTAGACCAGCGGAGCGCCTATCCAACTACCTGTGCTATCATGCAGCCCACGGAACGATCCAAGCTGTCCAAAGATATTGATGTTACACCTACAGTGTTTTCATATGACTGCGACAGTACACATCCATTGGACGTTCAACTATCCAATCTGACAACACATACGTTTATCATTCCTCCCAAGGCAATTTTATGTGAGATACAGCCAGTGATTGTCCAGGAACTTCCTACTGTTGATGGAGAGGTGGGAATACCGAAGTCATTTATGGATAAGATAGACTTTACCAATTCAGCTGTTACGGAGGAGGAACTACAGCTAGGAACGAAACTCATAAAGGGATACGAGGATATATTTTCACACGGAGATACTGACCTCGGGTGTACTAATCTCGTGAAACATCGAATCGATTTGACGGATCCAGTTGCTTTTAAACAACGCCATAGGAGGATACCACCTTCTATGTATGACGAAGTGAAGACTCATCTTCAGCAACTTTTGTCTGCGGGAGTCATCAAACCATCATACAGTCCCTGGTCATCGAACATTGTTCTGGTGAGGAAGAAAGATGGATCATTGAGGATGTGTGTGGATTTCCGACAGCTAAATCAACGCACCTTTCGGGATGCATACGCGTTACCACGAGTAGAGGACATCCTGGATCGTTTAGCTGGATCACACTACTTTACTGTGCTGGATTTAAAGTCGGGTTATCATCAGGTTGAGCTAGAGGAAGAACATAAGGAGCGAACTGCATTTACCGTCGGCCCACTGGGGTTTTATGAGTTCACGAGGATGCCTTTTGGACTTACGAACGCTCCTGCGACATTTCAGCGCCTGATGGAGAGATGCATGGGAGACCTACACTTAGCTATCTGCCTGATATATCTTGATGATTTAATCATCTTTTCGCGAACGTATGAGGAGCATCTGGAACGACTAGGAAAGGTTTTTCAGAGACTCAGAGACAACGGTTTGAAGCTTGCGCCTAAGAAATGCCAGTTCTTTATGAACAGAGTTGCCTATGTTGGACACATCGTCACACCGGAAGGCATTGAGGCAGATCCCAAGAAGATTGAGAAGGTACGAGACTGGCCGACACCGTCTAATCCTGAAGAACTACGTCAATTCCTAGGTTTTGCTGGTTACTACAGGAAGTTTGTAAAGGATTTTTCAAAGATTGCGAGACCTTTAACTGACCTGTTACCACCGACCAGAGTAAAGAAGAACAAAGGAAGGGCAAAGACTAAGATAAATGGCGTTAAGTGGACATGGGCATCGGAGCATGATACAGCGTTCAACGGCCTGAAGGAAGCGTTATGCAATCCTCCTGTGCTTGGATATGCTAACTACAGTCAGCCGTTTGAGCTTCACACCGATGCAAGTACCTTAGGACTAGGAGCCGTTCTATATCAAGAGCAAGATGGACAGTTACGACCTATTTGCTACGCCAGTCGAGGATTGAGCAAGTCGGAGAGGAATTACCCGGCTCATAAACTGGAATTCCTGGCGTTAAAATGGGCAGTTACCGAAAAGTTCCATGACCATCTATATGGACAGACGTTCACCGTTTTAACGGACAACAACCCGCTGACCTACGTTTTGTCGAAAGCAAAGCTTGACGCGACGGGGCATAGGTGGTTGTCCGCTCTAGCGACATACAACTTCGACATTAAGTACGACCAGGACGGAACAACGCGGACGCAGACACTTTGTCACGGCTTCCGGGATGTAACATATCATCAGAATCTGTCCAAGCCGTCTGTAAAGGAGCAACGTTTTGTAAAGGTTCATTGGTGGAAAGCTTGAGCCTATCAACAGAGGTATTGGATATGCTTGACGTGGAATGGAATGTGCGAACGTTTCAACAGAACCCTGATCGACATGTTAGGCGCATTGGAACCGCATCAAAAGAAAGACTGGAAGCGCTTTGTGGGTTCGCTCACATAGGCGTACAACTGTACACGGCATAAGACAACAGGTTATTCGCCATTTCAGCTGATGTTTGGACGACAGCCACGATTGCCCGTTGATCTATTGTGTGGAGTAAACGAGGAAATTACCCCAACTAGCATGCCGGATTATGTCAAAAACATGAGGAACCGGATGTCACATTCATTCAGCTTAGCGAGTAAGAAGGCTCTGGAATCGCAGAGTCGTCAGAAGGCAGGCTACGATCTACGTAGAAGAGAAGCCGTTTTGGAACCGGGTGGCCGCGTTCTTGTTAAGGTACTTGCCTTTGAGGGACGTCACAAGCTAGCGGATCGCTGGGAGCCTGACGGATACATCGTACAGAGGCAACCCAACATTGACATTCCGGTATACACCATACTTCGAGAGAGTGGTGAAGGAAAGAGTAGAACTCTTCACAGAAACCATCTACTTCCAATTGGAACTATACCGGTGGAAGTAGATACGGTACCAGTTGCACATCCACCTCGGCCGGTACCTCGTGTTAGGAGGTCGAGGATGGATAGTGGTCCGCATCATCGGAAGTCTGTGGCTGAGCCTGTTGTATCACCGCCTGTAAGTGACAGCAACGAGAGCTCGGATGAGGAATTTGTTGGTATGAACGTTCCTACGTACGTTCAACGGCCTCCCACACAGGACAAGGTGCAGCCGAGCAAGGACATGACACCCGTACCTGGACCTCAGATCGACTTCAGTGATGAGGAGACATCGGAATCAGAACCGGAGGATGAACCTGCAGCTGCAGTACAGGGGAATACTACTTCGCCTGATCCGGAGATTCCAATACCCCGACGATCGACAAGGAACAAACGACCGCCTAATTGGATGACATCAGGCGAGTTTGTTTGTTCACAACAACCTGCTGGAGCGGAATGGAAGATGAAAGCCATGTTTCTGATGGACATAACTTCTACAGTATCCTTCGGAGATATGCCAGCATCAGCCCAACAGGCATTGTTAAATATTTAAACTGGTTGAGTATGTGTGCCATTTTACGTAACGTTATTTGATTGTTAATATGCATTTGTATATGTAGTATGTATGTGTAAATGGAAACCCCATGGAAGATGAGGACATCTTTCATTTAAGCGGGGGAATACCTGATGAATTGGGGAGTTAATATATATTTTTTTGTTTTTTTCCTCAGTTGCAGATTTTATATTGGAATTGTGTGTAAATATTTTGCATGGACTTTTGTTATATTGTTTTATCATGTTTTATTTACATTATTTCCTGATCATGTAGATGAGGACATCTTCCATCTAAGGAGGGGAGAATGTAGTAGTGTCATTATTTGTCATTATTACTTTTAATATATTTGTGGTATTTAGCTATACGCGTTCGTATGTAACAGAAACCAGCCTTCCGTGTAATTTTGTACGTCACGCATTGCGGCAAAACTTTTAGCGCGCGCGCGCGGAAATAGCACGCGTAAATGCGAGTAAGGTACTGAGCGGATGTGATGTAATGTGTTGTAAACCTGTTTGTCCAGTACGTATTGTCTATGTATAGAATACCTAGTATTGAATGTAGGGTAATTTACCTGGTGCACTGGTCACTTTGAACAGAGCGGCCAGAGCGAGCACAGCGAACATTTTGTACACCTATATCTTTACCTAACCAGCATAGGAATCAAAAGAGGTAGCGGGCACTAGAGCCAAAAGCAAATAACGTAAGTACTCGTGTATAAATATAAGTTTAATTCATTATAGTATCTATTCAATAATATATTTAATTAACGTAATATTTTTGTTAAAAGTAAAGTTAATATTTTGAAAGTCTTTGTAAATTTAGAAATCGGGCGTGGTCAATTTAGTAGACAAGTGATTTCGAAGAAGCAAGTTTTTAATATATATTGTTTCCTTTTATAGCTTACATTGAACGAGTAAGACTGAGGACTCGGCGGACTTTGTCCGAGAAAACCCTCTTCACATTGAAGAGGTGGGTATTTTAATATATTTGTAGTTATGCTGTATTTCTATATAATATATAGATTGAATGTAACAGTTGTAATACGTATTCCACTATTGTAACTTATGTAACTGGCTACGGCCAGGTAGTTGTTTGATATGTCTTAGCTTATGTGATTGTATAAATGTTATATGTGTAGTAATATGATGTATTTCATGTTACATGGTTTTTACTTACGTAATAAATTAACTGAGAAAAGAACCCAGGAGTTGTCGTATATCCACGATAAAAGACGACTATGACATTACAAATTACTTCCCATTCATCACTACAGTAAAATGATTTAAACTGTTTCTTAAAGATGAGTTGCTGAATGCTAACAAGTTGTTGCACAGTTACTGATTGGCTGAAATGTCACCTAGGAGTTGTCATCAATTTCTTCGCGATAACTTTGCTCAAGAAAAAATGATGGCATCATGCACATTTGGCAGAGTTTTTTGAAAGACAACACGGATAAACTTTTGGATCCTACAGACCGTAAATGCTGAAGTGATGGCAAAAACAGTTAAATGTGTAACTACAGCTGGTGGGGTTTAGAAGATAATAATAAAATCAATGTCACTGCCTGGGTTTTCTGGAAGCATACACTTTGAATGTTCTGTTGAATCCTCAGTCCTACCAAGCCCATGGTTTTACTTTGAGAAACAGTGTTGCACACTGCTCCAAAAAACCCACATGTTGCCCTATAAAACCTATTCAACAACTACACACTGACAAATGTATGTAAAGGGTCATTTAATCTATCGTTCAAGAGTTGTCTCCCTTTGACTTAGACTACAGAGTAGGCATCCTAATTGTGGTGATGAATTCTTTTAAAATATATTTTACATATATAGTTCACATTTACTTATTGCACATATAGATGTTCACTAGTTAATAACTATTCCAGTTACTCCCTATTAACCATTGTTTAAAGATTGATAACTTTAATTATTAAACATCCAAAATTTAAATATACTAAAATATTACATATCAAAGATCCTATTTTATAAAACAGAAGTTCAAAAGCACTACATACCAAAATGACGCCCTTACTACTGAGCATACTGTCTTCTCTCTTCTTGGCGATGAGAATCCCCTTCTCAAACAGGAACACATGACGAGACGTCTTGGCTCCATGCATGCGGAAACTTCCCTGTATAAACAATTTCATTTACTGTATTATATGAAAAACAGAAGGAAATTATTTAAATTCACAACATGTTGCATATTGTAGTCATGCAATACCAACACAGAAATGTTATGTTTTACAGACAGCAATGGTACATACATAAAGTAAAGGAGAAACTTATTTACATTCTTTGGAAAATTAGGATGTCAAAATTGAGGATATTGATATGAAATTATATGAAACAAAAAAATGTAGCAAACGGCTTCAAATGACATAGGTTATTCACACAAATCACAGATCTTAAAATTCTGTATATCAATGATTAGATTGCATAAACAGTAAACGTCATTTGTTATACTGTCATCACATATCAAGTCAAATTTTGGCATTGTAAAGGGGTTTATTTTACAATACACCATGGGAGAGGTATGAAGGAATTGGGAAAAGGGAACATTGAAACAGGTTGTTGGTATGTGAGGTGGAAAATATGATAAATGGCATTTTATCACTGTTCTACTGTATTGTACTCCAAGATATGTTCACACTAGTTTATAGTTTACTGTATTTTACTGGTAATAAGCCCCCCCACTTTACCTTGCTGTCTGTGCACTTGTTTACTGATTTTACTGGGTGGAACATTTTTATCCTTTTCTCCCTTATATATAATGCCATGAAGAATTTTAAAAAGAATTATTTCCTTGTAAATTAAAGATAGGAATTTAAACTGGGCTAATTGATATTTTACAGTTGTAGGGCAAACATTTCCAGGTATACCTTATGTATTTTTGTAAATGCGAAATTGACTTTTGCAAACACCATGCAGATCGAGGCAACATAATTACATTGGGTCATATTTAATTCCCTTTCAAATCTACTTAGACCTAACACAAAGAAACATTAATCTTGTATGAATGTTTAATAAGTGTTAAACACTGGAATGTATGACTGTACCTCCAGGACAAGTTCTCCGATCCTTGTTAAGTCTTCGCCTTCATACTCCTCTAGTTGAGATTGGATCTCCTGAACTCGGACAGCGTGTTCGTGTTTACGTTTCATCTCATTGATGTGTTGAGCCATGCCTGTCATATGATCCAGAGCAGTAGTCAGTACCTTGTGGCCCGGGTCTTTCTTGTCATAGTTCTTCAGGATATTCTATAAATAGAAACCAAGGGTATTCTAGGAGTGCACATAACTTTGAACAGTCTCCAAAGGGAACATACATTCAACAAAATCCATAGAAAAAACACTCTTCACACAGTTTACAAGAAACTAGGTGAATCATTAGTATGAGAAATCCACAGTCCTCAAACACCGGACAAACTTTGGTATAAAAAATGAACAAAGGGCCATAACTCTGAATAATCGGTACTACAGCTGACTTTACTGACTGAGCACTTGTGGCTTAGTGAGTTGACTTCAGCAATTTAGTGTCAAGACACCAGTCATTTACACTCTTTGCTTGACAAAGGAAACAGATGTTTTCGAAAGCCCTGTTTGTGTTAAAAACAAACTAAATATTTATTATTCATACCAAACTAATGAATCTTATTCGGAATATCTGTATAGTGGGTGGGCATGAGACATGATTTTAACACAAGACACTCTGTCATCCAAAAAGATGCTCACATACAGAGTTTGGCAACTGTAGATAACAAGAGTATATGTGATAAGCCCTAAGTGACAGGGTGAACTTACCGTCCCCTCCATTAGTACTGGTGGAGGTCTAATTATCAGTGACATTGTCCTTCATCTGAATCTGAGATATTTGTTTTAAAGGTAAATCTGATTTGTGGGAAGAAATTCTATCAATAGTTAGATAAGTTTTAGGGTGTCTGACTAATTTCTGGAATGTTTGTCAGTAAAGTTTTATGGAAGTTTTCTCTGCCTGCATTGAAAGGTTTTCCTGTATATTTTTCTTTAAGAGATTTACTTTGGTTGGCCTCAAGGATTAAGTGATACTAACGTGGAGTAGAAGATGGTACTTTAGGACTCTTTGGACAGGTTTCAGGAGGTAGGAGCCGAGGGGTAAATTGTGGCCGAGTCTCTGCTGCTGCTTCTTGACCAGCTCACACAGTTCAGGGTCCAACATGACTCGGGTCAGCACCTCCACCGCGCTATAACCCAAATAATTCAGTCAGTATTTCTCACAAACTTCTGCTCACACTAACAGACTTCAGCAGTCACTAAGTCCAATTTGTGTTACATTGTCCTTTCATCACCATCCAACTTCCAAAGAATATGCTTTTGTTTAATATTCTCTGAGGTAAAAATGTGTAAAAGAAAAACAAGTGTAACCCTTATACTCAGAAGATGTCCTTTCATTCATATTGGTAATGATAATAAAAATAATTTGAGGTTCTTATATACCACTTTATCACAACCTACTTCGTAGGTTCTCTCAATCAAAGCGGTTCACAAATTATTATCCGTGGTTATAGGGACTTTGCAACCAGCCAATATCTTTCTCAACTCCCTGGAGAGCATTATATATATATACAGCCGGAGCTGCCATTTTGGCGCTCACAGTTAGCATTCAACAATTCTAGCACTGCCCAACCACATACTCATTTATAGCTGAGTAGACTTGAACATGCAGAGTAAATTATTTTGCTCAAAGATACAACACAGTGCCGTGCCGTGACTCGAACCCCCAACCCTTTGGTCACGAGCCCAGCGTCCTACCACTAGACTACAGAAAATAGCAGTGAACAGTAATTCTCATGTCCGTATGTTCATGATCAATCGCAAGATAATAGATTTCAATTAAGCAACCAATTTATCCAAAATATCTAAAAACAACAAGACAATGTATCTTTTTCTGCATGTTACCAACTTGAAGATGAGTCATATTATGTAGAGTTTACAAAGATTCCAGGATACTGCTGAGCTTTGTTGCAGTGGGAATCAAACTGTGCTAATGTAAGACTATGAAGGACATGTACAGGGCATACCTTGGATAGTTTGTGCAGTAGTGTGCATAGATTGCAAATCCCTCATTGTGTCTGACGAAGCAGTCTGCGACCTTCAGCGGGTTATCCTCACAAAGTTCCAATTCCCCTAGAAAACCCCTGTAAATATAACACAGAACAAATTCACATACACATAGATTTTTTTCAAAATCTCTACTGGAGATGTACAAACTTGTTAAATTGCCTTGTACCATTTACTGTCATTTTGGATTTTTTTTTTTTTTATAGACTTGGACTTTTCAAATTTACGATGATTATCAAACGAGCATGCATTCATCCTGGGTGACTTTGAGTTCCCTAAATAACATTTTAATATGCAACTTGAAAAACAAAATGTCACAGGCAAATGATAATACACGCTGTTGGTACAGACACAGCACTCAGAAAACAGTAAAATCTATAACTGTTGCAGTCTTCGGTCGAGAAAAATAACCAACAAGGAAAACACTATCGCAATTATTGAAGTACTTCAAAATTTATTTGAAAAATGAACTCCATAGTATCTCTAATGTTTCAGAGTCCTCAAAAGGTCAAAAGTTGAAACAAAATGTCACAAGATCACACTCGGCATAAATTTAGGGAATTCAAATATCAAATATATACAATTTAGATTAAAGTTTACAAGGCACATGCATATTTTGATTAGCTAACATGACTAAGCCTGCTCATTCAGTTACACTGCAAGTATGACACTTGAGAAATAGCAAACATATTGTGTTAACTTCTTATTTTGTTCTCTACACAGGTGCCATATTCACGAAATGGGACACAATACCCGCTAATGCAGTTGTGTCTGATCCATAACCACAGAGTCAAAGCCCGAAAATTATCAACAATCTTTTGATGAATTAATTGTAGATCCAGTCATTTAACTTTTTTCTCAAGAAAAGATATTTTTGATTTTAATTTTATTTTTGCTGTTACATTAACCCTTTCACCCCTATGTAACTTTAATAAACTTTCCCATATACTGATCTAGATGAGTCCATTGTGGTCTACAGTGTTGAAAGGGTTATTGAAGGTTACAAGCAATATTCTTGTAGATTAAACAGGATGACAGGAATCATATCATATGTATCATTCACCTGAAACAACTGAACAGGAGTTTATTGAAATACTCTGATGTGTCAAGGTCATTCAATTGAACAAACTTGACAGCCCTTCACCCCTGCATGCAATAGTTAAATAACATGGCCCTTAGCCCTGTTGATTAAAAGAAGAAGATTTTTAAGAAAAAGTTGAAGGATGACAGACAGACACTGGACAGATGGATGACAGACCACAGACACTGCAGTATTGTAATAGTTCATATACATTCTTTGTGCCATGTGAGCTAAGATTATGAAATATTTTATCTGCCTACCTATACCCATGAAATTGTTGTAATTTCAGTCAAGGTCAACCGAACTGTATTTCAACCATGTGCCATGTACGAAAATATCTATTTCACTGAGCATAATACTGGATGATATCTCTGTCCAACATTATGTAAATTCGGTCAATTCAGTAGCCATGAAGTTTGTTTTATATATTCAATGTATCTAGAAAGTCGTGTTTAAAAAAACGAAATTTTCTCAGAGTTTAAGCCCTTACACAGTGGTCTGTAATGTAATATTTGTGTTGTTGTCAGACTGTAATGTAATATATATATATATATTTGTATTGTTGTCAGACTGTATGGCCAGGATGACACAGCTTCTCTCTCATTATTACCTGCTGAACTCGTAAATCTCCAGAATGTTCCCAAACAGGCAGCTCCTCTCTTTTTCTGACACCTTTGTCTGGGTTGAATTCTTCAGAAATTCCAAGTACCCCTGAAAATACGAAAAAGAATTGTTTTTTCACTTGTAGCTGAACAGATACCAGGGTAAATTATTACGTATGTGTATGTGGCGAATTGTTAAGCAAAGTAAATGTTCGTCTTTGCTTGGTTCTGATTTCATTATTTACCACTGAAAGCATAATGTGCATTCGGGTGTAGTGAGAGTTGGACTGGATCGATCGTTGGCGGCAGGTAGCACTATTGGTAGAGTGTCCATCTAAAGTTTGGGAGGTTACAGGTTTGAACCCTAGTCTGGCTGTGCATTTTCCCCCTCCTATTACATTGGGTGCCTATGACCAACTCTTGTTTCAAGCATTTGATGTATGTTTGGCAAGGGAATTAATACCCAAATCTGGGTCGTAAATAAAGATGTCTTTGGGGGCGAAGACTAGGAAGGGAAAAATGCAGCAGAACTGGCCTGGGTGGGTCGATCGTTGGTGACTAGGTAGCTCAATATTAGCAGAGCATCGGTCTAGAGTTTGGAAGGTCTTGGTTCGAACCCAGTTCTGGCTATGCATTTTTCCATTCCTATTACAGCTAGGTGTATTAATTTTAACTCATGAAATATTTGCATATTGTGAGTAGTCAATTTTACAAGCTGGGGTAATTATAAGGTAAAAATGGATAAATGTGTATTAGAAATGTATAAAATTCCAGATTTTCATCACTTCTGCAATTGATAACTCATCAGATGTATAAAGTTTCTCCAGAGTTATGTCCCTTGCTGTATAAAAAGCAGCCCTTTGACAAAAAGCAGCATAATGACATCCCTTTTCAGTGATTTGTTGTAAACCACATACATTATAATATAAATAGTACTCAGAAGAAGGCAATATTACATATGTTCCACCCAAAGAAGCACTGTTAATTGTCACCAAAGTGAGGCTGATATGTCAGCAATGCTTTTGCAAGGGGTGAAAAATATGCAATGTATCACCATCTCATAAATGTTACCTTTATTTTATTACGAAAAGTGTCATGTTTATATTTCAACAGCAGCAAACCATCTTGTCCATTATCGTTTGGCATAATAAACTATCAACATCAACTATAGTGCTTCAACATGTGTAATAGAGAAACACCCTTCACTAATAGCCGACAAACGTTTTGGTGATCAGAGAAATGATGATCACCGTGAGCATATTTATTTTGGCTGATGTAACTATTTTGGGTGGGTTGTTATTCTGGTTTCCACAATCCTTCTTTATCTTTTTAAAAGCAGCAGGTAACAATGAAAATGTTCACATATTCCTGAAAATTTATCAATTTACAAGATTTTTACAGAAGGTATAATACCAAGACCATTGACAGGTCAGCAAGACCTTACATCCCTATGGTCTACTTTAAGTACTTTAAGTAACAGTGACCTTGACTCTGATGTACATCTGCATATCACAGTGTATCACATTGTCAAATTTCAGAGAGATTGGTCCTTTGTATCCTGAGATCATCTCCTGAAACAAAAGTGGACGGATGGACAAACAGATAGATGGACACTATTGGGCATCCACATCGGAGATATGGGACTGATAGCCAAAATTGATCACTTAAAAAGAGGTGTTTAGGATGGTACATATGATAAATTGTTTGTAAATGATCGCAGACTTATACTGAATAGCTAATATGACAAACTGTTACATTGAATAAAACAAAAAGAGGAGATACATGAGGTAGTATTAATATCAACTGTTAAAATACTCAGTGGCTATATTTTTGAGCAACATAATTTCTGCACAGCAAAAATCAGAATCAAGGACATCTTTTGGCTAGTAATCAACATATGTTTAAATTCTCCTTTACTATGTTATGTAAAGAAAATTTCCAAATTCCTGGATAGGACCAATAAAAACAAAAAATCTTCAATATCTCTTCACACAGGTGTGTGTGAGTAATTCCAAGTCTGTGTGCCATTTATAAGTTAGCGAGTGTGCATGCAAGTGTATGTACAATATTGTATACAAAAAATATTGTAATAGGTTTGTGTCAGTAAGTGAGTTCCAACTCTGAATCAGGTATGTGTATTGTGCTTGCATCAGTATGTACAATGCTGTAAGTGTAAAATTTGCATAAGTAAATGAGTTTCAAATAGGAATCAGGTAATTCTGTTTATTGTGCTTGCATCAAAATGTACAACAGTATATGTGTACGTGTGTCAAAGTGACATACCCAGCGTCTATATACATAAATACCAAACAGATCATTATCTGCCATTGAAATGTATCTGCTTGTGATGTGTATCTCCGTAAATCTTTATAGAATACACAAGTACATAAAACCCCGGGAACGTCTGTGGTCATTGACTGATTATGGAGATGAGATGTAACATAATTACGGGATATCACATTTTTCTCACCTCTTCCAGTCAATAGGTCCGCCTACCTCTACAAGATTTTGACCTTTGTGAGACTCCATGAAGATGAAGTTAGGGGCCCCTTGACACACTTCAAAACCCTTCCCAAATGAGAACTTAGGATTGTGATTTATAAAAGACCTCGACCACATCAATATAACCCAATCTGACTCACCTGTACACTTAAGGTATATCTGTTCAAACTTTTCTAATATCAAAGGTGTGATATTTTATCCGGATTTAATTTAAAATGAATTGAGTTAGAGCTGATTGAACCAATGACAGTTTTTTATGGCTTTTTTAAGCGCACTTCACTGAAAGTATAAGTAAAACTGGTTTTTTCTACTAAAGGAAATCTTTCATCTCAAATTTACAAGTCAATTAAAAGTTACAATAAATAATGCTGTTTATTTAGGGTCAAAGATTCCCAACACTTTTCTAATAAAAACGGGCTTTGAAAGTTATTTTCTGTTAAATTAATATTTTTCTTCCATATTAATACAAAGACAAAGGTTCCAGGTGTTTTTACGTCATTGCCAGTATAATATTTTGAAATTATTCCTAGCAATGCAGCATATACATACATATACCATGACCCAAAGTTCAATGGGTAAGTAAATATAAATATGATTATAAACCTTTTTTTCAATTTTGCAACAATTATGACACTAATATTTTAACTTATATTAATCACACTTGTTGGGCCTGATGGATATGGGCAGATGGTCTTTAAACGTGGAAGGAAACTGGAGTACCCGGAGACAACCCACATGGTCGGGCAGGTGACCCAATACCTTCCACATCCGATAGGGGAATTGAACCCCAGTCACCTTGGTGAAATTAGGCAAGTGTACTGTTATCCACTGTGCCAACTAACCATGCAATGGGTAAGTTATGTGTTTTATAATCAGGAGAGAAAATCGTTGAGAAGATTTTTTTGAGAAAAATGGAAAGTAAAATGAATGTTATAATTTCTTGTTTTGGGCGAAAAACTCAGTCATAAAATGCTGAATAAACTGGAACTCTTCTTCATCGGGAGGTACAACACAGAACTCCTCAGGACTCTCTACCTTAAAGGAGATTGTTTTACCTAGTATGACACACAATTAAGGATACTGTATAACTCTGATGTTTTGTGGATGTTTATTTTGATGTATTCAAGGACTGCAAAAGTACACAAAATACATGTGCTGTGAATGTGCTATCTTTGTGATAAACAGTAAACTTTGGATTAATAATGCTGTTGCATAAACAATTTAATCTCATATTTGTTCCGGATACAGTAAAAAGTGGGAGATTCTTTAGAAACTTTTATCAGGTACTTTTCAACAACGTTGTCCTCAACAGTCTTGTATGATTTTGACAATAAAGAACATATTGTTTTTTTCTGTTATACTCTTAATTATTGAAAGTCAAAAGCAGGAACAAAGAAAAGTTTTTTTTTATGGCCGTAATGAATTAGAACTTACATAAATGATCTCCTTGAGGTATCGAACATAAATCCGTTCTGTCTCCACAATCTCTGCCACCACCCTCTGGACATACGTCACATATTTAGAGGGACTTGTGCTGTCTCGGCGTACAAAAGAGTTAGAGGATCGTGGAGTGACCCCAGGGCTTATCCCCACCCCAGGGGAAGCACCCACTCCTGGAGTCACTGGTGAGGCAGGAGATGTCACACTTGTGCTGTTTGAAGTATTCAGCACTCCATGAAGTGGACTTGAAGCATTGGTGTTATCTTTGATTTGGTTGTTATGGAAACTGTCAGTATGACCTGTAGTTGAACCTACAGATTCTTTTTCTTTGGCCCCTAAACCCCTTTTGTGATTTTCGTGATCATTGGTTTCTGAAGAGTGACTAGTATTAGACTGAGCGCTAGCAGATGACACAGTGCTAGCAGACGACAGAGCACTAGTCGACGACTGAGCACTAACTGATGATTGAACGCTAGCTGACGACTTAACGCTAGCAGATGAGTGAAAAATAGCTGAAGAATTATCATATCTTTTTGAGCTTTCGCTGTCTGTATCCACCAACATATCGTCCTCAGCCGCTCCATTTGGTACATCGTCGTCTATATACATCAATTGATCAAGCTTTTCCATGTCACCACGTCCTAACGCCACTGGGTCAAACTCGCATAAGTTGGGTCGTTTTCGTGTGTGACGTGGAAGTGAAGACGAGGATGAAGAAGACATAGAACTAATACTGAGTGGGCGTTTTTTGCTGTCGTTAAGATCATTGTTATGTCTGGCAACGTCACCATGGGAACCATTTACATCACATATTGTATCACCACAGTCCAATTTGATTAATGGTGGAACAACCTGATTGGAGGAATGACTATCTGATAGCTTATTTTGATTGGTCGAAGGAGATGTTGCTTGGTCATGTGATTTGTCCCCAACATCTTGTGATGTTTTACTGGCTAGGGCAATACTGTCGTAGATGGAGAGGAGCGAGGGCGCAAGGTCCAGGGACGAACCTGAAATATCAACAAACGCAAAATTAAAATAGGAAAGAAAAGTGAACGGGTTCTTATAACAAAAACATGCAAAAATAGTTGTTTTATCCAATCATTATCATACGGACAACATTTTTTTTCATGTTTTGGGTTTCAAATGTTTTCAGGATTAATTCAAAACAACTCTGTGGTGTAAAGATAGCATCTTTAGAAATTCTATGATTCACTGAGAATCAAACCTGATTGTCTTAACAATGATCTGAATCCGTCTACCATATATATATAGTTAGTTACCAGGTAAATGTACAGACTGACATAACTACAGCTCACAAAGAACAATGATATTGCATCATGTATTATGTATAGGGTAATATCTGGTGTTGGATCGTACTAGGGTACATGTCACAATATGCCAAGAGTGTATCACGATATATTGCAATACAGAATGAATATATTGCGATACGTATCCCAATATATTGTCATAGGAAAGATGTGCTCGATTTTATAATAAGTTATTTTCAGAATGTTATCAAAGTAAATCATATATAATATGGATCACATAGATTTAAGATTTTGTCAAATCAACCATCGATTACAAAATTTACACTAATTCCCACCACTATTAAAAGCCTGTTTCATTCTTATTGGCATATCTGTTAGAATTTGTAGTAATTTGCAAAGTTAAATTACCAAGAAGAATCAAATACATAAAAATAAGCTTATGAAAAATTATTGTGATACAGCAATATATCATCTTTGATTGGGGTACAATACGATATACCGTGTATTGCGGTATACCTGTTTTCTGATATATTGTGACAGCCCTAGATTGTACACCTTACTGTGCCAAATACCAGGGAAACGAGACATCCCAAGTGTCGGCACCAAGTAATTAGGTACATGGGGATAGTAATCGTTCAAAGTGTGAATTACATATTTAATACATTTGATGTGAACATTCTGTCAAAACGTTTCTAACAGACCAGTAAACCTGTCTTAAATCTGAAAAAAATATCTTTCTGTTCACAATAGAAAGTTTTACAGCTAACACAGGTTCTGTTTACAGAGACATGTTTGTAGTGGGAGTCGGGTTATATTGTACAGTCAAACCTACCCAACCGACATGCTTGTAGTGGGAGTCGGGTTATATTGCACAGTCAAACCTACTCAACAGACATGCTTGTAGTGGGAGTCGGGTTATATTGTGCAGTCAAACCTGCTCAACAGACATGTTCGTAGTGGGAGTCGGGTTATATTGTGCAGTCAAACCTGGTCAACAGACATATTCGTAGTGGGAGTCGGGTTATATTGTACAGTAAAACCTGGTCAACAGACATATTTGTCGTGGGAGTCGGGTTATATTGTACAGGCAAAACTGGTCAACAGACATGTTTGTAGTGGGCGTCGGGTTATATTGTACAGTCAACCCTGCTCAACAGACATGTTTGTAGGGGGAGTCGGGTTATATTGTACAGGCAAAACTGGTCAACAGACATGTTTGTAGTGGGCGTCGGGTTATATTGTACAGTCAATCCTGCTCAACAGACATGTTTGTAGGGGGAGTCGGGTTATATTGTACAGTTAAACCTACTCAACAGACATGTTTGTCGTGGGAGTCGGGTTATATTGTACAGGCAAAACTGGTCAACAGACATGTTTGTAGTGGGATTCGGGTTATATTGTACAGTCAAACCGGGTCAACATACATATTTGTAGTGGGAGTCGGGTTATATAGCTAACACAGGTTCTGTTTACAGAGACATGTTTGTAGTGGGAGACGGGTTATATTGTACAGTCAAACCTCCTCAACAGACATGTTTGTAGTGGGCGTCGGGTTATATTGTACAGTCAACCCTACTCAACAGACATGTTTGTAGTGGGATTCGGGTTATATTGTACAGTCAAACCTACACAACAGACATGTTTGTAGTGGGAGGCGGGTTATATTGTACAGTCAAACCTACCCAACCGACATGCTTGTAGTGGGAGTCGGGTTATATTTTACATTCAAACCTACTCAACAGACATGTTTGCAGTGGGAGTCGGGTTATATTGTACACTCAAACCTGGTCAACAGACATGTTTGCAGTGGGAGTCGGGTTATATTGTACACTCAAACCTGGTCAACAGACATGTTTGCAGTGGGAGTCGGGTTATATTGTACACTCAAACCTGGTCAACAGACATGTTTGTATTGGGAGTCGGGTTATATTGTACAGTCCAACCTGCTCAACAGACATGTTTGTAGTGGGATTCGGGTTATATTGTACAGTCAAACCTACTCAACAAACATGTTTGTAGTGGGAGTCGGGTTCTATTGTACAGTCAATCCTACTCAACAGATATGTTTGTAGTTGGAGTCGGGTTATATTGTACAGTAAAACCTGGTCAACAGACATATTTGTCGTGGGAGTCGGGTTATATTGTACAGTCAAACCTGCTCAACAGACAACCTCTTTTATGGAGGAGACCACCTGTATTAAGAGACCACTTTAAAAAAAACACCATTACAGTTATTTTTATGTTAGCTGAAATTATATTAAGAGACTGCCTGTTTAAAGAGACCACCTCTGTTAAGAGACCACCTGTGTCAAGAGACCATTTTTAATATTCCCTGTTGCTGTTATTTTCATGTTAACTAAAACTATATTAAGAGACCCCTGTGATAAGAGACCACTTTTAAAACTCATCATTGCAGTTATTTTTACATTAACTGGACCTGTATTAATACCTAAAATATGTGTCCTAGCTGACATCATGACATCACTAACTTCCTAACGGTGGTCTCTGTATACAAGTTTGACTAAATAATGTTTTTATAAATATTAACATAAACTTAACTCATTCACCCCTGAAGACACATTTGAACCCATCCAATTTAAAGGTTGGAATAGTTCATTGTGAAATCAAAGGGATGAATAAGTTAAGGCACAGCAATGTAATAGGGCCAATGTAATGTTATGTAATTTTAATTCTAAAACTGGAATATAACTCTGGCCCCTGGGACACTCTTAATATAAGAATGGATTGAATCTATGACCTCAACCTGAACTGAAGGCTAACACTTTACATGGTGTTGTTAACTCAAGGAAACTCTACAGATGTACTCATACTTTACTTCTCCTGACTTCCTCTTTCACTGCAGGACTTATACTGGAAATGTGTTTACATCATTACCATAGTCATCAACTTCTACACAGGAAGTCAGCGCTCCAGATATTGCTTTAAAGGACTAAGTTTCACTCTCAAATCTTTGGAACTTAAGTCATTTGTAGGAAGGAGACAAATACAGTTCCATGCCGATAACTTTTTGTAAATAAAACTGTTTAGGAAAAATTTGATTGAAAGTTCAATTTGTTTCTATCTGTTTTCTTTAAATGTGGGAATTATGTTGAGACAAAAAAGGAAAAGGAAAAGGAGATACAAATCACCAGACATCTTTACTCATCAGATTATGATTGACAAGAGTTTTGGGGTTGTTTATAGAATGTACCAGTAAACATTTACTGGTGTATATGACAGGCGGTGTAGTACCATATGTTGAGGGGAACAGACTGATGGGATCCACAATCAGCCTGGCCCTAGCATAACCCCCCCAACACAAAGACCAGCCCATTAAACGTAGCCTGCCATCTCTATCATATACTCAAACGATTCTCTGGAATCAACATCAGCAAAGCATAACCTGGTCGTGTTTATTCTATTAAGGATTTTGTAAGAACCCAAATGGCAGTCTCAACTGGGCTCAAGGGAAAACGGTTCCTGATAATTTACACCAAAATGTTTCCCTGCTATGAATTTATTCAGTAACTAGCAAATTCATGCAATTAAGCCTCCCTGTCCAATCCCCCACTGTTATGATCGTTTTGGTGAAAAAAAATGTCTATTTTGTCCCTGAGTGTTAGTCATAATATGCTATCTGATACTGAAAGTAAACAAGATGCCCATGGGTCTGTATTGCTCTTCATTCAACATTTGTTGAGAAAGACAGTTTCACTAAGCCTTAGCCTATTGTTTAAACTGAACTTTGGCCCATAAGTATACTGTCTCTATCTCCTCCAGAATGAAATTTGAATCTGTGACTGAAGGGTATAAATGCTTAAAATGAAACACTTTATAACCTTGAAATTCAAAGCTGTTAAGAAAATGTTCAAGACTTACATACATGCCTAAATTGAAACAATATCTAAATTAAATTTGTGTTTAAGTCTGTCTCAAGCTGAGCTCAAGATTAATCTCCCATAGACTTAATTTAGCTTAAACTTAGCTTCAGGCAAAGTTTTAGTGTCGATCACAGACATTGCTTCCCAACATGTCTTCGGCTAGAAGGAGTTTCGCTTTATCTCAGCAGTAGAGCGTTCCGGACTAGAAAGTCTAGGATCGCAGGTTCCATCCCCAGCAAATACACATGTTCTTTTCAGTACTACCTTTCTATTACACAGGCTTGAATAAAGGTATATATACACCAACAGAATAGTGCTGAAATTGTATAATATCAAAGTTTTGAATAATTATGTCTTTGGAAGAGGAATATTCATCAGTTAAAAAAATCATTGAACATTTCAAACAATTGCTGTCTTGATTTGAAAATGTTGAAGTTCTTGTTGGGGTGGTTCTAAAGAAGAAGACTTTTGCAGTTAAATATCAAAACAAGTCTTGTCTATGCTTTAGAATTTTGTTCCCTTTGACCCCAATTGTAATGCAAGCAAGTTCATTTATAGGTTGTACAAGAGACGTCAAAGATAGTCAATGGATATCAATACCCATAGTTTCCATTGATAACCTTTGACCCCTGGACAAAGCCTCCTTTTAAAACCCAGGATTCCGATTTCATATGAAAATATCAAAGCTGGGTTTAATCTGTTAGTCTGGCTGGCTTAACATAACAATAACATTGACTACCCCTAAACAAACATACTCTCCAATAGGCTTGTCAAAATATAGACTTTTTTTACCATTTTTTATAAGAGAACAATTACACTGTACTTCATGCTAAGTGACATGATGACAGACACACAACA